TAGTGATCTAGGAGTAGATCACTGGACATCAGTCAAAATTATCCTTAGTGGAATAAGGATATGTTTCTCGATTATGGAGGTGACAAAAAGGTTCATCATAAAGGGTTACGTCGATGTAAATTTTGACACTGATGCAGATGACTCTAAATCTCAATCTGGATACATATTGAAAGTGGGAGCAATTAGCTAGAGTAGCTCCGTGCAGAGCATTGTTGACATAGAAAGTTGCAAAATACTTACGGATCTGAATGTGGCAGACCCGTTGACTAAACTTCTTTCACAAGCAAAACATGATCACACCTTAGTACTCTTTGGGTGTTAATCACATAGCGATGTGAACTAGATTATTGACTCTAGTAAAACCTTTGGGTGTTGGTCACATGTCGATGTGAACTATGAGTGTTAATCACATGGTGATGTGAACTATTGGTATTAAATCACATGGCGATGTGAACTAGATTATTGACTCTAGTGCAAGTGGGAGACTGAAGGAAATATGCCCTAGAGGCAATAATAAAGTTATTATTTATTTCCTTATATCATGATAAATGTTTATTATTCATGCTAGAATTGTATTAACCGGAAACATAATACATGTGTGAATACATAGACAAACAGAGTGTCACTAGTATGCCTCTACTTGACTAGCTCGTTGATCAAAGATGGTTATGTTTCCTAACCATAGACATGAGTTGTCATTTGATTAACGAGATCACATCATTAGGAGAATGATGTGATTGACTTGACCCATTCCGTTAGCTTAGCACTTGATCATTTAGTTTGTTGCTATTGCTTTCTTCATGACTTATACATGTTCCTATGACTATGAGATTATGCAACTCCCGTTTATCGGAGGAACACTTTGTGTGCCACCAAACGTCACAACGTAACTTGGTGATTATAAAGGTGCTCTACAGGTGTCTCCGAAGGTACTTGTTGGGTTGGCGTATTTCGAGATTAGGATTAGTCACTCCGATTGTCGGAGAGGTATCTTTGGGCCCACTCGGTAATGCACATCACTATAAGCCTTGCAAGCATTGCAACTAATGAGTTAGTTGCGGGATGATGTATTACGGAACGAGTAAAGAGAGTTGTCGGTAACGATATTGAACTAGGTATTGAGATACCGACGATCGAATCTCGGGCAAGTAACATACCGATGACAAAGGGAACAACGTATGTTGTTATGCGGTTTGACCGATAAAGATCTTCGTAGAATATGTGGGAGCCAATATGAGCATCCAGGTTCCGCTAGCTATTGGTTATTGACCGGAGACGTGTCTCGGTCATGTCTAGATTGTTCTCGAACCCGTAGGGTCCGCACGCTTAAAATTCGATGACGGTTGTATTATGAGTTTATGTGTTTTGATGTACCGAAGTTAGTTCGGAGCCCCGGATGAGATCGGGGACATGACGAGGAGTCTCGAAATGGTCGAGACGTAAAGATTGATATGTTGGATGACTATATTCGTACATCGGAAAGGTTCCGAGTGATTCGGGTATTTTTCAGAGTACGGGAGAGTTACGGGAATTCGCCGGGGAGTATATGGGCCTTATTGGGCTTTAGGGGAAAGAGGGAGGAGAGGCTGCGCTCCCCCCAATGCCTAGTCCGAATTGGACTAGGGGGAGGGGCTGCGCCCCCTCCTTCCTTCTCTTCTCTCTCCCCTTTCCTTGACTCCTACTCCTACTACTTGGAAGGGGGGAATCCTACTCCTGGTGGGAGTAGGACTCCTCCTAGGGCGCGCCATAGAGAGGGCCAGCCCTCCTCCTCCTCCACTCCTTTATATACGGAGAAGGGGGCACCCCATAGACACAACAATTGATCTCTTGATCTCTTAGCCGTGTGCGGTGCCCCCCTCCATCATAATCCACCTCGATCATATCGTAGCGGTGCTTAGGCGAAGCCCTGCGTCGGTAGAACATCATCATCGTCACCACGCCGTCATGCTGACAAAACTCTCCCTCAACACTCGGCTGGATCAGAGTTCGAGGGACGTCATCGAGTTGAACGTGTGCAGAACTCGGAGGTGCCGTGCATTCGGTACTTAATCGGTCGGATCGTGAAGACATACGACTACATCAACCGCGTTGTGCTAACGCTTCCGCTTTCGGTCTACGAGGGTACGTGGACACACTCTCCACTCTCGTTGCTATGCATCACCATGATCTTGCGTGTGCGTAAGAATTTTTTTGAAATTACTACGTTCCCCAACAAAGTCATGCCTGATCGACAGGTGCTACGCTTTGTCATGCCTGGTCGGCAGGTGCTACGCACGACAGATTTTCCAAAGACTTCAAGTTGTATCGGCTGGTGGTACTTGGCAGCATGGTGCTGAGGTGTATCAGTGGCGACCGTGACGTGCACAGCTGTTTGCGCGCAGGGAGGAGGTGCCGTTGGGCGCCGTGGTGGCGTCGATGATAGCTAGACCGAGCAAGGTTGATGCATCAGTACAGTTCTGAAGATGGAGCAGTGGCAGTTGGCGGCGGCGACCTGTGAGGGCACGCCGGACCAGCGAGACCCATGCCCGGCAGGCATCCTGGATGGGTCCTCAGGTCTTAGATGTTAGGTTTGGCTGCGATGTCTGTTTGGTATTAGGCCCAGGCTATCTGCGCCCCTTCATCAACTGGATAGGTGTAGCGACAGTTTGTTGCTTAGACGGCGGCGGCCTCTGAGGGCACGCCGGACCAGCGAGACCCATGCCCGGCAGGCGTACTGGATGGGTCCTCACGTCTTGGATGTTAGGTTTGGCTGCGATGTCTGTTTGGTATTAGACTCAGGCTATCTGCGCCCCTTAATCAACTGGATAGGTGTAGCGACAGTTTGTTGCTTAGACGGCGGCGGCCTCTGAGGGCACGCCGGACCAGCGAGACCCATGCCCGGCAGGCGTCCTGGATGGGTCCTCAGGTCTTAGATGTTAGGTTTGGCTGCGATGCCTGTTTGGTATTAGGCCCAGCCTATCTGCGCCCCTTCATCAACTGGATAGGTGTAGCGACAGTTTGTTGCTTAGACGATGGCTTTAGTCTTACTGTGGTATTACTATGTAAGGTCTTGTGAGAATAATTAATAAAGTGGTCGTATGCATCGCCCAGATGCAGAGGCAGGGGGTCATCCTCCTTTTCTAAAAAACAAAGTCACCACACACATTTTGATAGTCGACGAGAACGTCTCCTTCTATAAAACACACATCGCCACAAGGTTTGAGATAAATACAAAAAAATGCGAGCAGTGTGAGACTTGAACTCCAGCGACAATAGGGGATACCACGGTGCTCCTATCCACCGTCATCATCTGATCTGTTCCAATCCAATTCGTTAGAGGTCCCGATTACACCCATCTGGACGCGACGTGACAGCAACAAAGGCGACTCCGGTTAGAAAAGCCTGACTCTTTTCTCAGAAGGGTGACGCAGGCATGGACACTGACGAACTGACCATGACATGCACGGACCTACGCGATTTTCCTTTCACTCACAGCCTGATCGAAACTGTGATGTATGTGCTCACATACCATACGGGTCAGGTCAAGCAGCACTGCACTCGGAGACACGGGACGTGACGCCGCTACGCGCCGCTGATGGCTCGCTTTCATGGTGCGGTCAGGGGCGACCAAAAAATACGAGCGCCGGGCCCGTCAGCTCGCGACGACGCACGCGATGCGCCATGCGACGGTCATGGCAGCGACAGGAAGCCGTAGATTATCACGCCGATCACGTACGCAGGCCGCCGTGCCAGGCCACGAGCGGAACCAGATATAGTGTAGTGTGGCATGCATTCGAAGGCGCTAGCTGTGCGTACGTAGTACACCGCGAGAAGTGAGCAGGCAGGCCAGATCTCGTAGTAATGTAATAATGCCATCATAAATGGAAGCACGTACAATGGCAGATCGCCGTATATATGCAGGGAGGGAGGTTCCACAAGTGTACAGTCCGGATTACCCGCAAAAAAAAAAAAAAGTGTACAGTCCGGATTAAGATTAGTAGCACAACAAAGTGGGTAGGCGGGTTGGGAACGGACAAAAGGAGGGGATCGATTTGAGTTGACAGTGGAAGTCGTCTTGTCCAGCCTACCGACACACGCAGCACAGGAGTCGTCCCTTGAGAAGCGGTGGAGATGCAGCCCCCGACGCGGAATTCAGTTGACATCTTCTTATCGCGTCTTTAAGAGATCTATCCATGGCTTGACCTATGGCTATGCACACCTACGGCAGTTACCACCGCATCTTGCTTCTTCCCAGAGCCAACGACCCAACCAGTATAGATTTCCAATTCTAAAATTCTAGTTCTAGAACCGGAGCGGATCGGCGGTGCCCGGTTGATCGTTCACATTAACGCGATCATGGATACGGAAAGGAAGTCCGGTGACTAGCTTGAACCTCACTTATCGTCGCTCGCTTTACAGTTCACGGTTGGGCAGCTAGTGTTGGCGAAAGAGCTAAAGCCCACACGTTACTACACGCAGATCTCGTGACAGCCCACGATCGTGAGTAACCACAACGGAAGCCAGTCCGGCCCGGCCCTGATATTCCCCCGCGCAGATTCCGTTCACCCCAACGCTTTCACATGCATGCACACACACACACACACACACACTTTGATGAGAACTGTATTTCTAGTTGCCATGATGGTAGAGTTTCCGTGTTGGCTCTCCTGTTGTGAGTGCTACCCAGAAACTTTGCGCCTGATAATTATTCACATGCAGACGGACGCTATCTCGGCAACGGAGTGCTCCCCGGCAATCTGCATCCGAAAGCGGGAAACGCAAGAGAGACAAAGACAAGGGAAGCGCACCACCTCGGCATCCCCATAAAATACGCCCCCCGTCACCTTTGACCCCTCCACCTTTCGCCACCACTCCTCCTCCAGTTTCCTCCCTTTTATAAAACAAACAAAAGATCACGACGCACAGCCCGCGCCTCCCGTCCCGAGAGAGCCGAGCAGAGACAAGAAGCAAGATCAAACACACGCCGGCCGGCACGCAGCAACGCCGTCCGCCCGCGCGCGATGGGGAACAGCATTGGGGCGAAGCGGAAGGGGGCCAAGGTGATGCAGCTGGACGGGACGTCCTTCCGGGTGAAGCCGCCGGCGGCGGCGGCCGACGTGCTGCGCGACCACCCGGGCTTCCAGCTGCTGGAGGCGGAGGAGGTCAAGCTGCTGGGCGCGCGGGCGCGGCCCCTGGCGCCCGACGCGCCGCTGCGCCGGGGCCGGCTCTACTTCCTCGTCGCGCTCCCGCGCCGCCCCGCCGCGGGGCCGCCGCGCAGGGCATGGTCGGGCAACCTCCGCGTCGGCGCGCGCGAGCGGCTCGAGTCGCTCATGCTCGCCCGCCGCTCCACCTCCGACCTCTCCTCCTTCCAGGGCGTCGCCTCCGCCTCCGCCCCCGCCTCCCCGCTCTTCGCGGGAGCGGGAGGCGGCGCAGGCACCCCCGTGCGGCTCAGGATGCGGCTCCCCAAGGCGCAGGTGGAGAAGCTGATGGGGGAGAGCCGGGACGCGGCGGAGGCGGCGGCCAAGATCATGGAGCTGTGCGCCGCGGTGGGCGACGGCGGCGGCTGCGGCGCCAAGGTGACGCCCGAGCGGCCGCCCGGGATCCTGCGCAGCCCGCGGTTCGCGGCCACGCCCGAGTGGGGCTCCGGCTTCATGCTCCCCAAGCCGGCGCCCGGCGCGCCGCCCAAGACGCCGCAGCGGTGGGCCTCGCTGCCCCGCGCCAAGGAGGAGGTAACCACCATTACTGATTGATTACTGCTCCTACTACCCTTCAAATCAATCAATTAGGCCCATCCATTCTCCACGTGCATTGCATCACTGCGTGTCCCCTTGTGCGCACTGCGTGATACTACATGAATTATATTCGTTCCACAGAACTCTGAACAAGATCTGCATTTTTACTTGCTACTCCAACATCTGCATTTTTACTTGCTACTCCAACTTGAGTTGAGATGCACAACCAAAAAGTCAAGCACATGTATATAGTACTGTAGAATTTGTGTTATAGAAGAAGAAACAAAAATCTTGGCCGGCAATGCGTAGTATACTACTCTTTCCCTCCGGAAATACTCGTTGGATAAATGAATAAAAACACATATATCTAAAACTAAAATACGTCTAGATACATCAATTTATTCAGATGGAGAGAGTACGTTAGATTATAGTACTCCCTCTGTTCATTTTTATAAGTCGGTTCACACAAGTGAAATTGTGTTATTTTGCATACTGTTTGAAACATCTACAAAGGCTTATAAAAGTGAACAGAGGGAGTAGTAGAATTCTTGGGCTTTGTTCGGTTTTGTGCGTTGGTTACCGCAGTAGAAAAGCAGCCACTAACCACTAGTGCAAGGTTAGCGAAGCTGCCGAATGTCAGATGAGATGCCGCGTACAGTAGAGCGGCAAGAAGAGTTTTCTTTCTTGTATACTGCTGTCTGCAGAGAACATGTACCCTGTCTCAGTGGCGCACTACACCTGGGAAACCCTTCTCCGCTCATTGCGGGAAACAACCTACACAGCAAGCAGAGCACGACTTTCGTGCGGGTTTCCTTTTCACACACCAGTACTATCATTTAACAACTGGAGTTAGTAACCGTCACAATAATAATAAAAAAGAAACAAAAACAAATTAGAGTTAGTAGAACGAGACAAAAAAAAAGAAATAAGTTGATGCTGCCCATCGTTTTTGTTTCTTGTTTCTAAACTCTCTTGTGGAGTTGTGGTGTTGTGTTGAACCCAGACCCACAAGTTTTACTTTGAGCGTCGATACGTAACGGGATCCGTAGACAAATCTGTGTAACAATTGTTGCCTTTTCTGGAGTCTAATCTTGTCTCCATTTCCATGTTTCAGAAGCGTGCGAGGTTCGTGGCGTTGCCGGACGAGCTGATCGCATGACCGACATTTCGCTCGACGGAGACGAGTTAACACATCCATCCTGCTGTCCCAGCCATGCTTGCTGATTGTCAGGCCAGGAGATAGGGAGTTATAAACCTATCTTCAGGCTGTTAGAGATACCGTTTCGAAAGAAAAAAAGGCTATTAGAGATACATGCTTGGATCATCATTCTCTTGCCAACAAAAACTATGGTTTGAAGACGAGAAGCCGCCGAATGGCTTCCAATTCACCTTGATTTCGCATATCAGTAGCGTGTTTCTGGACTCTGTGTTCTCCCTTGTGTGTTTTCTTGTTAGTTCCTCTCTGGTGGTTTTATTATTAGTCCACCATGCCATGTCGTGAATGCTCTGTCTCTGTGCGAACCAATTGTCTCAGTCAACTGCGTGTGCATGATTTCAGACTGATTTGGAAGATGCCAACCTGCAGATTGATTTGGCAGATGCCAACCTGCTGCAGTTTGCTTCAGGCAGCTTCTCTGAATTATCCGCATTCATTCATTCGATCCCTGCATGATTCTGGAAGGGGGTTGTGCGGGTTAGTGGCGCGTGATAATGGATCGTCGCGTTGAACCGGTGGATTATGTTTGCTTATACTAAGAATTATTATTGGGAGCTGTTGCTCAACCGCATTCCTCGGCACATGCAAGTGCTGTTTACAAAATCATAAGTACACGTTTGCTGCGTCGTCAGTGTTTCTTCCTTGTTTTTTCAGATGGTGATGAAAGGCTTGGTTAGCGCCGGGCTTCGTGTCGAGTCGCAAGTGTTTTTAGTGGTTTCTTAATTGATCCAGATTTGGATAATGGTGCTGCATCCAATCATAAGAAACCTGCACATGTTACGCGATCTGAACTACCGTCTTATATAGTACTCTTATATCTATGGTGTGAGAAAGTCAGATCAGAAGAACATGCAGGTATACCTTCTGAATCTGAGAGAATCGTTCGTTGGCAGCGTGTGGACTCTGAGATAACTCCATATTCTTTGAGCTTGAACAGTAAACTTACTGGCTGCCCCTACAATGCATCGTCCGTTACTGCGGGAGAGTGTGTTGTGTGTAGAGCAGATCAGATCAGATGGCCAACTTCCAGCATGACCTGGGGGCATCATGTCCATGGGTCTCTCCACAGTTGCTTGGCCAGTGGTCGTAGTCCAGAATGGGAGTTGGCTTCCCTATCGTAAGGGCACCTCCAATATAGTCCTGGCTAGGGTTTCCGGGGAGCCGACGGTCGGGCTCGTTTCCCCGCTGGGCCAGGAGGAGTGGCCCAGCCTTCCAGGAATTGGGCTGGGGGCCCATCGGCGATCCAGCCCGCGTCTTGGCCTGTGGGGGTGCAGGGACGCCCCTCCGTGCTTGGGCCTGACCAGCCTGGCCCGGTGGCCTGCTATGAGCCTGCGCTTAGGCCCGGGCCCAATGCGGAGGAGGCTGAGCGGTCGGCCGCCCCTATTAATAGGTGGCTGTGGGTGCCAAAAGGAACCCTAGATCTGTCTCTAGGGTTTCCTGCATCCCACTCTCAGGTTCGGCGCTTCGGGCACCTTGCCAGTCGTCTCCTACGTTCTGCCCCTCCCCCACCTCTTTCCTGCTCGTTCGCCACTGTTGTGAGGATGGGCTCCCGCCGCGGCGACAAGCCTCCCATGTCGCCTCCGACCCCGGCGGCGGATCGACAGCGCGAGCACGATCTGCGGGCGAAGGCACTCTCCAAGGCGTCGGCGAAGGCCGCGGGGGACGGGCGCTGGGGGCCGCCGCCTCCATGGTGGCTTGCGGAGCAAGAGCGGAAGCAGCAAGAGGACCGCGAGCGCAAGAAGAAGAAGAAGAAGGAGGAATATCGGCGCCGTGGGCTGGAGCAGAAGAAAGAGCTCAAGAGGAAGGAGTCTCAGCTCCCTCCGGGCGGTGAGCGGAGCGGGGATCCGGTGGCCAAGAAGCAGAAGCAAAAGGGGGGCCGTCGGCTTCGAAGGGTTCGGCTAACGCTCCGATCCCAGTGGAGGAGGCTGACGGGCCGGAGTGCTTCAAGTGCGGCAGGGTGGGGCATTACCAAAATATGTGCCACTTCAAGCCCCTGTGCGTCGTCTGCCACGAGGAAGGGCACGCGTCGGCGTACTGCCCCACGCGGGGGCGGCCTCTTCTGCTGCAGATCATGGGCAACGCCATCCCTGGAGAGGGCTTCTTCTGCCTCCCTTTCGTGGAGACGGAGGGCGAGGAGGTCCAGGCCCCGCTGGTGGCGGATGCGGCGATCATCTCGGCGGCGCCTGGCACGCTGTCGATCCCCATCTTGGAGGCGGAGCTTCCTCACCTCTTCGAGGGGGTGTGGGATTGGCAGGTGACGGCCATCGGCGTCGACCAGTTCTCGGTCGTCTTCCCCAACAAGGCCATGCTGCGGATGGTGACCCGCAGCGGCAAGCTCTACCTCTCCCTCAACGACATCATGACGGATATCAAGGAAATGAGCCAGGAGGAACCCAAGGCCGAGATCATGCCGGACGTGTGGGTCAAGCTGTGGGGTGTGCCGCCCAAGCACCGCCGCGTGGACCACCTCATGGCAGGGACGGTGATGATTGGGCGTCCAATGGAGGTGGATGAGGCGTCGTTGCCGGGGCGCGGCCCAGTCCGGATGCGCTTCGCGTGTCGATCGCCGGCCAAGCTCAAGGGCTACGTCCAAGTGTGGTTCAACAGCGAGGGCTTCACCATTCGTCTGGAGGCCGAGGTGGGTGATCTACAGGGTGCGGCGCCCCCTCCCCCTCCACCAGCCAGCATGGACAAGGGACCAAATGACAAAGACAAGGACCACGACGCGAGCATGGGGGATGACTCCATCGACACCGCCACTTGGGACAAGCTTGGCCTCAAGGACAAGGACCCCCAGGACGCGCCCCCGGCGGCGGGCGCTGCGAAGGACCAGGAGGAACGACAAGTGGTGGTGGGCAGCAACGAGATGGGTCTCAACCAGTACAGCTCCAACATGACGCTGGGCCTCGACATCGACAAGGGGGTCTCGGCGTCCTGCGACTCGGAGGGTCGCTCGATGCTCGTCTCCCCGATGGCTGCGGTGGTGGGTGAGCCTCGGGTTGCCACGACGCGCTCACCCAAGGCGGTGACTGGCCTCGGTGGTGGTGGGACGAGGCTCCACAAGAAGCCGGCAGGCCACAAGACTCCCTTGGTGGCGCCGGTGAGCCCTCCCTCGGGCCATGCGGGCACGCCTGCTCCGCAGCGGCCGGTGGTGATGGCGCTAGCCTCTCCTGGGGGTTCGACTGGTGGCACCTCATCGGTCATCTCCCCTCCAGCTTCTGACACGCTCCGCGCGGAGGTGGCCAAGGTGGCGCCCGTTTCAACGGCCAAGCGCTCCAAGGCGGTGGTGGCGTCCACGGTGACACAGGAGCGGGCGAGCTCCCGCCCGAAGGGCGCCAAGGGCAACCTCCCAGCCCTCCAACGCGCCCAACTCCTGCAGGCCCAGAAGAACCTGGAAACCGAAGGTAACCCCATGCCCCGCTTTACGATCTTTGATGAATATTCTGATGAGTGCTTGGGGGGTATCTTAGAAGATAGTGGGGTGATGATGTCTGACGAGGGGGAAGCGCGCGAAGTGCTCTCTCTTATTCATGCTAAGGAAATCGCGCAGGCCACGCTAGCTCAGGCAGCGCTGGCCCGCGTTGCGCCAGCAGCAGAAGAAGTAGGGGCTTCTCTGGTGATGTTACGCAGCCCGATCAGGAGGACATAGCAGCAGGGGCTGCGCCGTCCACCTCCAACCGTCGTCCTGCCAAGATACGGCGCGTGGCCAACGCGGTGACCGCTCGCGGTATCCGCCTCCGCAATCGCATTATCTAATGCGGTACATATTCTGGAACATCCGAGGCTTCGGCCATGCTGGGAGGCGGACCCAGTTAAAAGAGTTCATTCGGAACGAGGCGATCGACGTAGTTGGCCTGCAGGAAACTATCAAGGCCGATTTCAATCATCGGGACCTGCTAGCTGTCGATCCGCTGGAGCGTTTTGTTTGGCATTGGGTGCCGGCGGTCGGGCACTCGGGAGGCATGTTGCTAGGCATCAACCTAGTTTGCTTCGAGGTGGTGGCGTGGGATGTCAGTCATTTCTTCCTGTCGGCCCACGTGCGCCACCGCGCAACTCTCCAAGAGTGGGAGGTGATTGTGGTTTACGGCCCGGCCGACCACTCGCTCTCGCTGGAGTTCTTGGGAGAACTCCAGGCGAAGGTTGCGTCTGTGGGCACGTGAAATTTTCCTCTGCTAGTGGGAGGGGATTTCAACTTAATTCGCTCGGGAGCGGATAAAAACAACGATACTATTAATTGGACAAGGGTGTCCATGTTTAATAATGCAATCACAGCCATGGCCCTTAGGGAAGTGGCTCGCGTGGGGGCACGCTACACCTGGACCAACAAACAACTAACGCCGGTGCGGTCGGTCTTGGACAGGGTTTTCATGTCCTCAGAGTGGGAGGTGCTTGTTTCCTTGTGCTCTTTGCATGCCGAAACGAGGATAGGGTCGGACAACGTCCCCCTCATCCTCTCCTCGGGGGAGGAAAGGTTAAAACGCAGCCCTCATTTTTTCTTCGAAACCGCGTGGTTAGAGTCTCTGGACTTTGAGCAAATCTTCCTTTCGAAATGGGAGAATTACGTCGCCCGGGTCGGGCGCGCGCGCGGGCCGATGGAGTTCTGGATTGCTGCAGGAGCGGGCTTGCGTGCGGCCCTCAAAGGGTGGGGGGCTAACCAGGGGCGCGAAGATAAGCTGCTTCGATCGCGTTTGACCGTGGAGCTCGCTCAGATGGATGCTGTGGCGGATGTGCAGACCTTCTCGGAGCAAGACTGGGCTCAGCGCTACGTGCTTGAGGCCCAGGTCGAGTCCCTCCTTAGAGCTGAGGAGGAGTACTGGCGTAGACGTGGTGGTATCAAGTGGACGCTCAAGGGTGACGCGAACACTCAATATTTTCACGCCTATGCTAATGGCCGTCGCCGCAAATGCGCCATTTTGCGCTTGCAATCTGAGCAGGGGCTCCTT